TATCTATCTATCTATCTATCTATCTATCTATCTATCTATCTATCTATATATACTGTATTTATACATCTATATCAATGGATATGTATCTATATATCTACTGTATCTATATATCTATATCTATCTTTTTCCTCCTATGGGTGTCATGGGTAAATTAGATAAAGGATGTTAACAGTTTATTCAGTGATACATCAACAGGTCTTCTTCAGTAGCCCTTTATTAGTTATTAATAACTAATAAAGGAAATAATCAGATAAATTCCCATCAAATCATGTTAATATATTAATCAACTAGCCAGGAACAGGATAAACTACAAACTAATTGTGTTCTCTTCTTTATAGGACCTTGTTTGTGTATCTTGTGAAGATATTGACGAATAGTAAATTGACTAAATTCATTGATCGATATGTGATGATGTATTGACTTTGTGTTGGGAGACGGGATCAAACATCACACGGATAACGAGCGTCTGCAAGAGATCAATATTTACAGCACCTCAAAATGGGCTTAAAGGCCGCGTTAAACACCCTTCAGTATCCATATCAAACCATTACTGTGCAGCACAAGATCAGTTATGATGAACACAAAACCCATTTATGGTCATTGCTTCATGGCAATATAGACTTTAATTTAAAAATAGTGAAATGAATTTTTCAAACACTGAATTAAACTCTATACATAATATTATGTTAAAATAGTGGATGTTAAATAAGTTTGTACAATAAGTCCAAACAAGTTTAACCAAAAAATATTTATTTCTCACAATTATGAAGGGTGGAGGGTTAGGGTTAGGGTTAGGGTCAGGGTTAGGGTTAAGTTCAGGGTTAGGGTCAGGGTTAGGGTTAGGGTCAGGGTTAGGGTTAGGTTCAGGGTTAGGGTTAGGGTTAGGGTCAGGGTTAGGGTTAGGGTAAGGGTAAGGGTTAGGTTCAGGGTTAGGTTCAGGGTTAGGGTCAGGGTTAGGGTTAGGTTTATGGTCAGGGTTAGGGTTAGGGTCAGGGTTAGGGTTAGGACATCGTTTTTCCTCCAATTTTATATAGACAGTAAAGTTTTGTTTCATCCCTTATAAAGCTGCTAGTCACATGACCTAATCAAAATGGCCGACTTGGATG